GCCTCTATATTGCAATGTTGGGGTTGCCACTAAGTCACAGGCATTTTTAGCAGAAATAGACAGTAGCTAGCAGTGGAATTTATGACGTGCCTTTCGTGCTATTTGGGACTCGTCAGCTGGATGTACCTGCATCCCAGTGTTACTGTTCACCCTGGGACTCGAACCCCAGTGCCAATCACTTCAAACACCATCGCATCACTCACTTAGCTACTGAGTTCATGTAGCTACTGGCTTGTGCAATATAATGAATTTTAATTGATACATATTGATTGTTTGGATCCTCCTACTTACGCTTAGGACTGTAATTGGTCAGTCTCTTAAGGTAATATGTATTGTAGAGTTTACTCAAAACACTTGTTACCGGTTAATTTTTACTATTATCGTTTGTATTTTAATTTTGTAATTATTATTCAAGCATAGCTTAGGGTATGAATTCTAGACTGATTGTCTCATTTATCGGGAAGTATACGTATACACTTACTTCAGCCACGTTTCGAATTAAAATTTCATATTCAGCATCGTTTAATAATAAATCATTTTAGTATAAAATTGTGCAAGTTAAATTCGACCTTATTTCTTTTCGCAGATTTGGATTGTTTCTTGTCACTCTTAATCAGATTGTATGTATGGTGAAAGGAAAGTCATACAATTTATAAATAAATTGAAAATAATTCGTACTTGCAATCTACGTCACATAGATTTCTCTTGTTTTGTCCTATATTAAGGTCAGTGCTACATCACTGACGTAAATTAAAAACGCAGTAAATTTATTATTATTACTGATATTAATAACATTTTTTGTAAGTTCTGGTTGTCAGGCATATACACAAGTAACTGTTTTATCTTTTTTGAATATTAAATCCTTTCTATACATTGATTGTATCCTTTTTATCGTCATTATATCATCGATATGTAGTGCCAAAGTTATCGGTTCAACTAGAACCAATCAAAAAAATTATTATAAACGATTTTTGTTTCATGTTAAAGCTAATCGAATGGATGATATATTATCAGATCCTGGTTTATTCTGCTAAACTGATTTAACACCTTATTGCCGACAAGAACACTATGTGAGCCTATGTTTGAGTAAACATCTCTGTCTATTTGTTGAGCGGTGGGTTATTAGTTAAATCACATGACTCCTAACCAGTAAGTTGTAAATTTGATCCTCACACCATTGGTTTGACTATCTAAGTACCACTAGCTCACACACTAACATTTTGAAAGTCCTATATACAAACACCTCAGGTAAAGTGAGTGCATACAACCTCCTTTCTCCATTGTTCCATTCAAGCAGTGGGGTTAGGCAAGGTTGCCCAATCTCACCATTCCTCTTCATCTTTGCCATCGATAACCTTCTGCAAACAGCTCTGATAGATGTAGATAATGATGGTGTGAATCTGTTGCCTGGAGAAGTATTTTTCAACATTGAGTATGCAGATGATATTGTCCTACCGTGCGACCTGGCCTCTCCGAGTTGAGGATGTTAGACAACTCTGTGTGTTTGATTACCACTGTCTCCAAAGGATTGCTAACATCTAGTAGCAACACCGTTTCAGTAATGCAGAGGTTCGTCATCCTGTGTTCAGACACAGCGACGATGATTCCATTAGTATCGCTATCGTGAAACATCGACTTCGGTGGCTTGGACGTGTCTTATGAATGTCTACCTTCAAAATTCCACATCGTGCATCTTCGCCGACGCTGGGAACGGTTGGAAAAAAGCGGAGTGATGAACAGTGTGTGACAAGGTATCGTGGTATGAAAGAAAGCTGCACAGAACTGGCTTCTGTTGGTCCTTCACAACCCCTTGGTCGGAGTCCTAGAGACGATTCAATACAGTGGTGTAGAGACGTTATCAGACATGGTTCAGAATAGAATCCAGGGGTGATGCTGCTGTAACTTGCTTTTAATTTCTTTATAAAAGTGAACGTAACTTCTTTAACTAAAAGAATTCCTTCTGACTGTATTCTTTCTGACTGAGGTATCTTCCACCATTATTATTATTACTTCACTCTAGTGCACTAATTTCTATTCCGGTTTTTTTTATTTATTATACTCATCTTCCTTTCTCTATCACTTCACAACCTCATTGCTATCGTGTGGGTCATATGTATTTGGTGCCCTTTTATCAGTGCCTATATCTTCAAATGAATAATTTTATTTCGCTATTCCAATTACTTTCTTATTTCACTATTTAAGATTAACAACTGAAAAATGTGAAACTTATTTTGTAATTTTTGTCGCAAGGTTGTTAATGACGCGTGGGATAAATTGTGTAAATGACACAAAAACACGTTTACATTGTTGTCCAGACTAATAAATAGGTAAATGGATATGTTTATCTATAGACACAATTTATACTGTTGTTGCTTAACGAAGTTTAACAATATTCTTTTGAAAAATTAACACTAAGCCAATATAAAGGTGTAAATTGTAGAAATTTGCTCTAGTTTAAATGGTAATATCACTTATCAGTACAAAAGTTAATATCATATATTACTACAGATGGGGGTAAGGGCGAAATAAACATTTAAGGTAAAATGATTATTATATCTAGCTATTTAATTAACCATACTGTTACTAACTATTTATTGAGATGTTAAGCAAAATTATTATTTCACCGATTTTTTAATGACCACTTTTCTAGTAAAGTGAATAAGGCCAATTTTAGCTTGGTAGTCTTTTCATTTGTTTTAACTATAATCATTTCACATCTGTAGAATATAATGTATATTCAGATGACAGTTCAGAGTATTTGATGACTTTGCTTTTTATGTTTTGATAAAATCTATCTAAAATATTCCTTTCTTACGGTGTAACGACACTTATTATACTTTACAGTAGTTGATTTTCAATGCCATTAGTGTCTCACTGCCTTCTCGTGGCCACGGTGTTGTTTACGAAATTGAGAGGACGAAAAGCGAATGTCCAGCGATTTAACCAGGTTAGTGGACACTGCGAGTCCACCTAGGGGAGTTGGGAAACCCTGATTCCAAACCAATGGTGCACATGGGCTCCAGTATCCTAAGGGAACAAATGGCGTATGAATCAATCGTTGGTCACCGGCTACCATGGGACTACATCTCACGATGCTCCACTGCCTTGTGGATCAGATCTTTAGGTCAAAGGCTCCGGGTGTGGCCCCCTAAGAGAACCACCTGATTCAGTTTGGGCACCTGGGCAGTGTCACAGCACTCACACAAATCGAATGAGATTTGTGCGGCGCATATGTATCTGGTGCTTCCTTGTACCAATATTTATGTGTTTAAATAATAATTATAATACTTAGTGAAAATATTTTTCCCTGTTTAGAATAATGTAGTGTTTGTTAATAGAAGGGAAATTGAATTTTTTCTATCGCAAATCATTCTGAAGAATACATTAGAATCAGATTATTGTAGAGTTTTAATCGAAATATTTCATCAGTATTCTGATATTTAGCGCTGCTATTATTAGAAACAGATTAATTTAAGTCAACAAAAAACTTAAGTTTTAACTGGGTTCAGACTTATACTCTTCAATCAGGCTCATTAAATTTGCTACCAACCTAAATAGGAGAATTGATTACTAACGAGTTTTCAACCTTTAACTATCTTATTCAATCGGTAAATAAACAAAAAGCCAGATTACTATCTGCTTTTCATCATAGTCAACTTTACGTAACTATGTTTAGCTTAGTAAAAATAGTCATTCCGAGACTACTTACTTACTTACGCCTGTTACTCCCAATGGTGCAGAGGCCGCCGACCAGCATTTTCCAACCCACTCTGTCCTGGGCATTCTTTTCTAGTTCTATCCAATTTTTGTTCATTCTTCTCATGTCGGTCTCTATTTCTCAGCGTAATGTGTTTTTTGGTCTTCCTCTTTTCCTTTGGCCTTCAGGATTCTATGTGAGGGCATTCCGAGATTACTTATTTTAATTCGCGTGAGACATGGTTTGGTTTCTTTTAATTTCACTCACTATCGAACAATCAAAGTTGTGTTAGATATCCCAACGAATGATCATTCATTTAATTCCAAATTAGAGTATTTTCCTATTTCATTTTCTACGTTTATTTGATCTCGCTGGTCTGTTTCTACGGTTTTATCGCTCGTTTCTCAAATGACAATTTCTCGTTTGATGTTTCTATAATTGAGTATGCAAATGTCTTTTTAAGCGAAAACGTCAGATAAATGTGAAGTATTTGATATAAACTTTGAAAAAGTGTTCTTTCTACTTTTTGACTAAGATATCTTCAAATTGGTCTTGCTTAAATCAGCGCCTAGTTTTACAGTAAGGACAAATGGTCTTAAATGCATAAAAAGTTAGTCATTCATAAAGTATCACCATTTATTTTTCAGAAACATTTATACGAAATTCATGCAAGTTGCAAATACATTTAGCCGACTAGTCTAAAATACACAAAACGTACATTTTAAATTCCACTGCTATCCATTATCAAAACTTTTTTAAATATACCTTTTACTTGATGTCACTATCGTGATAATCCGCTGAAAATGTACATCTACCAATAGAGACTGGTCAATTGAACAGTCCTTAACATCAAAAACAGACAAATCCAAACCCTTACAAATGGAATGTTATACGAAATATCGGTGTTACTCATTCTTTTCTTAAAATTTAGTAAATATTATTCACAATCACTTCGATTTTTTTTAATTCATCGGTTAAGTGCTCTGGCGCGAGACTGGCAGGTCTTGGGTTCGAATCTCGCGAGTGCGGGATCGTGGATGCGCACTGCTGAGGAGTCCCATAATAGGACGAAACGGCCGTCCAGTGCTTCCAGGTTTTCCATGGTGGTCTAGCTTCAATTGACTCATGATTTCAACTTTGAAAAATTCATCTTGTTTTATTTATATATCTAGCTTACTGTGTGATTGGTTTCGTCGATAAATATGTAAATTGTTCTGCATTTTTGAGACAATTTCCTAAACATTCAACCAATATAATGGATGGATTTGAATTATGGCGTTTAATTTATTAAACAAATCTAAACATGAATTCTGCATCAAGTAACTTTCAGGTATGTTCAATGTTATCTTTATTGGTTTGTTTTTGGAAAATACAAACTATTTGTAAATTAACCTGTTTATCTTAAGTTTATATATAATTTTTAAGTCTTATTACAACATTACGTTAGGCAGGTATCTGGTTAGTTGATGGTTCATCGTTTTACTTATCTTTTGTTTTAAGTTCAAGCCCTCTGGTTTTAGTTTAGACGATATCCTCTTCAGCCAAAACTAGTTATTTTATGAGTAGTAGTGGAAACTATCATCCATTCATGTTCGTTTACAATTTTTCTAATTTACCATAAAAGTGTGCATCTAGAAGAGAAGTATGCACAATATATTTAAACCTGGATTGTTAAGCTCTACGGTGGGAGTGCGCAGACGACATAGTTCTATATTTTGAAGACTGGTAAACTCCAGAGTTTCCTAACTATTTTGTATTAGAGATATTCGTGATGGCTTTAATGGATTTGTAAGTCTAGATCAACTTAAGTCCACCTCAACATGTGTTATGTGTGACTAATCATTGTCTACCTCTCCGCGTAACGGTGTGTGGCTTAAGAGTAGTTGTGAAGAAAGGTTAATATACTGTTAGAATTATCGATTATTAGTCTAATTTGTTATCAGAAGGAGTTTTGTGGAGATTTAGTATTTTCGTAGTTGAAAGCGTAAGTCAATTGAAGCTAGACCACCATGGCTCGAGACTGGTAGGTCCTGGGTTCGAATCTCGCGAGTGCGGGATCGTGAATGCGCACTGCTGAGGAGTCCCATAATAGGACGAAACGGCCGTCGAGTGCTTCCAGGTTTTCCATGGTAGTCTAATTTGTGTTATGATGTCAAAACTAACTAGTTGGAATTCATTGGGTGTTTGTGATAAGTGATGGAAACCTTAAATGATCTGGGTTGAAGTCGGTAACGGTCCATCAGATGCATTTATCATTTTTCTTCTAGCTTGTGGGTTTCCATATCATTTCATACTTTTGTTCCACAAATTTATTTCTTCTTTTCAAACCATGTTCTCTATATTTAATCTTTTTATCACATATACTACTATTATTTCGATTATCTTATTGTTTATCTTGGTATCTTTATTGTTACACCATTTCTATATGTTGATGTGTTTTGGCAATTCGGACCACAGTCCATCTGTTCAAGGTTCTTAAACCGGTTGTCATATCAAACTAAAATTCGAGCCATCGATTATGTAGTTGCACTGAACTTTTGAGTTCTGAAAGATTTTAAAATCTACCATATTTAGTAATGATTTGGAAGTTTAATGAATCACATTGACAAATAGCATGAATGAATCAATTTCTGGAGTTCCTCATAATTTCTGTTTGCCTATATTGTATAGTATAGGTAATCCCCAGTCTAACATTAGGAATAATGACCATGGTTATTAGTTTTTTTTGTCCTTGAAATTAACACGTGATATGTTCACTCAACTTTTCATAATCCATCACATTTTCTCTCCTTGACATAAACATGTACGATTATGATACATGAAACCCTAAGATCTGGGATTATAGCTTGTACAATGTAACGTAAATCGCATTGGTTACTTTAAAAAAAAGGAATATGACCATATAAAAGAATTTGGCTTTTATTGAACACATTTCCCTTTGTATAATAAATTCACGTATATTCTTATTAAGAAGTGACCGAAACCCTCTCAATTTTGAAATTTTACGTGAGAAGATATTAATTAGTAAACAGATTGAATGACAGAATAGCATACAAAAGTTCACCATTTCTGATATTTTTCAGTAACAAAAAATATCGAACAACCGGAAGTTGTTCAGTTTGAAGTAAGTTCTTTTCATAAACTGACGTCAAGTAGAGAGCTGTTAGAAACCAGGTAACAGCTGTTTTATCTTAGTTTGTGACTTTTCAGAAGTACTCATTCATAACCGTGCTAAATATTATATTTATTTATCTTCTGACATGCTCTACAACAATATTCTCAAATTATTCGAAGCTTAGCAACTTGTCCTCGTTTCGTCATAGGAGTTTTGGTCCTTTTAACCACTCAATTCATTGATTTTTACTTCGTTATCTATTGATAGTTTACGATCTACAGGGTTCTGTTCTCCTATAAGGTCGTATCTTCACGGATCTGGTTTAGACAGTTCATTTACAATCGTTAAACTTTTGTTCATGAATCTTTTCTATTTTCCGTACATTATGTTTCAATGTTAGATGGTTGGGGACAGTCAGCAAGTGACCATAGAACTAAGTCCCAACTAGCACGAAACCTAGGTCCAAGGTTCTCTACCAATCGCTTCAAGTCACCCAACATTAGTTGATGGGTTTCAGTAGTCATTGTAGTCAAAGACCAATTGTCTTGGTATCTATCTATCAAACTAATTAGTATTGTTTTTCGCACAAATTTCTTTTTTTTCTCATAAATCTTTATACTATAGTGAAGCGAAAGGTCAGTGTCTATTTTGTTGAGTATTATTCTGTGTATCTTGTTATTAAAAATTACTGTTTTATTTAATGATCACCAATACAATTCGTGAATAAAGTGCACAACTCTACTACCGGATTGTCTAAATTCTAATGCTTTAAAAACATCATCATTATATATGAGACGATGGAGAAGGCGTCAGTGTATAAAGTTGGAGACAGATCGAATTGAAGGACAACAATGTCAACAACCACAACAACGACAAAAACCACTATGTAAGTGTAAAACTTAATTAATATCAAATGCAACATGAACAAATTAACATTTTTGATTATTCATTCATTTTATTTACATAATTTTATAATAGGAATATTTATCACAGTATCTAAAATAGTTTGATGTCATGCATATTATAGCAAGCTTATAGTGAAGTGTAAATATGTGGGGTAACAAACAACGCATTGGTCACTTTCATAAGGCTATATAGAAAGTGAAAGATAAATGTGAGTGGCCCATTGTGATTAAGTGAATGATCCACCTAATCAGAGTCACTGACCATACGTCTCCGTTTGGGCATTATTAGAATATATATATATATATATATATATATATATATATATCTGGGTCTACATTGTTTGTGAGCACCCTATTGACTCAGTATCCTTTCATTATAACTTGACGAAATTCAGGGAATTTGTGTAAGAAATTACTAAAGCATTGTCATGTTTATAAAACATTCTGTCTTTGTTGTTGTTCTTCTTCTTCAGAAAATACAGTGCATATAAATCAAGATGAGACAGTGTCATAATAATCTGATGGCCTAGATAACAATATAGGGCACCTTACTTAGATTGTACAAACGTTATTATAGTTAATTCGATAAAGTGTTTAGTAGCAGTAGTAGAAATGATCAGTCCACTAAGAAAAGAAAAATGGGTTTAAATTTTTGACATTTTAATTGTCAAGTTAGATCACTAGTAGTCTGTTTAAAACTGCTAATGTTCGGTATTTTAACGAAATAAAATTATCCTTACTTACTTGCACATATTACTTGTTGTAAGGAAGCATAGGGCACCCACCAGCATTCCCCATCGAACTCTTTCCTGGGCAATTCCTTCCAGTTGCTGTTCAGTCTTTTAATGTCTGCTTCCGATTCTCCACGCAGTGTGTTCCTCGGTCTTCATTTTCTGCTTTTGCCTTCAGGATTTCAAGTTAGTTCTTGCGTCGTGATACAGTTTGATGATTTCCTCAATGTATATCCTATCCACTTTCAACGTTTTTCCTAATTTCCTATCCGTGTTGTATTTGAGGATCTTCCTCTTCTCCCATGCTATCGTTGAACTGTGTGAGAGGTAGCTTAAGGGTTAAGGTACTCGACTTTCAACCAATAAGTTCCATGTATGTACCTCGGTTCAAGTTATCATGTCCACATTAGCACAGCTAGATAAAATTGTCGGGGAAAATCCACGAGTAGTAAAGGTAGTAACACTATTCGTGGTAATACAAAAGATTAATCACCAAAGATTCGAGTCAAGAAATAACTTGGTGGATAATCGAGTAGTATCGTTATTGTTTCTATAAAGGGAGTAGCTTAAAGTGGACCACATAAACGTATGTTTTCTAAATGAGTTACTTGAAGTCAAAATTTATAAGCCACTTAATGATAGAAAAGATTGTGGTCAAGGTGTATATATAATGTTTCGTTTTTTCTGTCATCAATGACCAGTCATATCTATATTTTGAAGACTATATTAATGTTTTATAAGTACTGGACATTTTGACTGTAATGACCATCAAAAATATCATATGTTTTTCTTAAAAAAGTCATCAAGTCTTTGTGTTATGCTTAGAGTTGAAGTTGATGAAAACGAAAGATATATACAAATAATTGTATCGTGCCATATATATTTGATTAGCCAAATCAATAAATAGAAGAAATTTTAAACCAATGACGTTCGTACACATTCATGACTGTTTTTCAATCGTCAACATTTCACTTTATGTCAATCAAATGTATCATAAAGAATGTGATAATATGGATATGAATATGAAAATGATTGAAACCAAATGACAGACGTTAGTTACCAGCTGATGAGTTTCAGTCAGTCAGTTAGCAACAACGTAGAACATCGTACGTACGTACATCAGTTCAAGTTACCATACCACATTATCACAGAGGTAGAATTGTCGATTCAAATCCCATAGTGATAGAAGTAATAAGAGTATCAGCAATATTGTTTAAGATTAGGGTTTGAAGATGTTATTGAAGGAGTATAATGTAGTGAAATAAATTTGGAAAAAGAAAAAGGAAAGAGACATAAAGAATTCCGGAGATTAGAATTTGGGAGGATTTTGAGCCACGTCATTCAGTAGTACGTGAAGAATTTATATTATTTGTATTTCAAAACCGGCTTACCCGGATTATATCGCCATTCGTATAATCTGTGAAATGGTGGGTCATTGGTTATGGCGTACAACTTTCATCCACTAAGCAGTAGGTTGAAATCCCGAGATAAGTGAGGCGGTCGACACGCTCAACTACTTCACTCCCTATCATTAGTTCAGGTGTCGATTCAACCCAATCCTGAAGTAACATTTCGCACTTCGAGGGAGAGAATCGCATCCCGAACATGTCTGCATTGTCGCTTATAGTGGTCAGAAGACTCTGCATTTTGTCAGCGTCTTCACCAAATAAAACTATGTCGTCGGCGTATTCCAAGTAAACAAGTGATCCTCCCGGTAAAAGTTCAACTCCTGGAGATTGAGATGATGAAAGTGTTATCTCCAAAAGCATGTAGACGACAAAGTTAAACAAGAATGGGGAGAGTGGACAGCCTTGACGAACACCACTTGAGGTAACCAATTCTGAAGACAGTTCGCCATATGCTCTAACTCGACCAGTTGTGTTTTATTGTACCTCTTTGGTCCTCCTTTCACTGACAAACACTGCCATAGAACCTCACGATCAACGGAGTCAAATGCCGCCTTAAGGTCAAGAAATACTACTATTGTGGGACGTCTGAATGTGTGTCTATGTTCTAGGACCTGACGTAGTATGAATATCTGGTCTATGCAACCACGTCCAGGTCGAAAACCAGCCTGGTTTTCTCTAGTCTGCTCTTCACGAGCTTTGGTTAGGCGTCCAAGTATTATTGAAGCTAATATTTTAGACACTATATTAGTCAAACTGATCCCTCTGTAATTGTCACAGGAGAACTTCTGTCCTTTCTTATAGACTGGCACAATCAGTGATTGGGACCAGTCAGATGGAATTACGTCCAGGTCCCAGATTGTACCTAAGACCTCAGTCAATCTCGTTGCTAGTACTGAACCACCATCCTTAAAAATGTCATGGGTACACCTGTCAGGGCCTGCTGCTCTCTCTCGCTTCAGATTTCCTATAGCTTTTTCAACCTCGTAGAGAGTTGGAGGACTTACATCAATTTTCCATTCAGGATGACTGGGGATCATGGGTAACTGAAGTGTGGCTGAAGGCCAGTTGAACTGATCCCTAAAGTGTTCTGCCCATCGATTCAATCTCCTGGATTGAGAATGAATGAGATTCCCATCTTTGTCTGAGATAGTTTCGCTAATAGTTGGGTTCCTAATGCCGGTTTCTTTAATAAGTCTGAACAGCTGTCTGCTGTTACCAATTGCCGATGCCTTTTACATCTCTCTTGCTTTTGCTACCCACCACTGTTCACGATCATTGCGTAGGCTTCTTATTAGCCTTCGCTTAATCTGACTCCGCTCTTCGTTATGTTCAGAGCCAGGTCGGATGAGTTTGCGAGCATTTATCAGTGTGGTAGATGCTGCCGAGATCCATTGTTTCTCCCTGAGCTTATGACTTACCTTACCAGCGGATATCACAGCTGTTTCCACAGCTTTTCGGATGTCATTCCACGCTGCTTCGGGGTGGACACAACTTACATGTCTGTCTAACTGTTTTTCCAGTTGTTCCTGAAATATATTCTTAGCTTGCTTATCATTAAGTAGACCCCTAAGAGGTTTCCGTGCAGTGTTTTTTTTGCGTCCAGTAAGACACAGACAAATACGTGCTCGCACTAGAGCATGATCTGAATCTAAGCATATGCTACATAATGAGTGACAGTCTTCTATCGAGTCCCTTTATCGGTGGCTGATAGCGATGTTTTCTATTTGGATCCAACATTGGGACGAATTCGGGGGTCGCTATGTCAAAAGATATTTTTGCTTATGCTTAAAGTTAGTATTTGCAAGAAATAGGCGGTTATCTGAGCATAGCTGCAATGCACGGCCGCCATTATTTGTTTTTTTAGCCACGACACCATAAGATCCACCCAGGTGTCTTTCCCTTTCGCTTAGTTTACCTACTTGAGCACTAAAGTCACTAGCCACTATTTCTACATCAGAGCGCCTAGCTTTTCGGAGAAGGTCGGAAAATTTCCTGTAAAACTCACCTTTTACATCATGCAGTGCTATACTTACGCCAGCGAGTCCACGGGAAGCAGCATCAGGGCTTCTAGAAATTCGAAGCCTGAATCGAGTTGGTTCTTTATTTTAACATGGTGGGGTCAAATGAATGACGCTACTCGGATCCTGTATGCGTGTTTCGGAGACGCAGCACACATCGATGGTGGAAGATTCTAAAGTCCTAGGTAAGGAAACCTCTTGTCCTTTTTGGCACAGTGTCCAGGCTTTAAAAACTGTTATATGTAGTTTAGAGCGTGGTTTCAGGAGACCAGGAATAACGTTCCGTGTACCCGAATCGTTTTCCCTAACGGTGCGAGATGAAAAAGGATTACTACGAAATGTTTTACATCCAAAGGCTATAAAATATTTTGATCTAAATAAATGCATTAGTGTATTTCTTCGTAATTGCATATACCTTTCTTTTTACGTTCTATAGATGATGATTTCGTTTCAAACACGAATCATTTCCAAAATGCAAGTGTTAATCTTAATCAATGTGTGGACGATATTCATAGGACAAATTCCGTATTAGCAATTAATGAACTTTCAAATTGTAGGGGTGATACTTCCATTACTACTTCTACTATTGACGTCATTAATACTAATAGTGATAATAATAATAATAGTGATCGAAGTTATCAGTCATTGACTACAAACACTTTAGTCGCTAATCGATCGAATACAGATCCTGAGTTTTGTATGGTATCTAATTCGACGCCGTTAATGTTTAATGGTGGTGTAACATCTCCTGGAAATTTTAAAAAAATATTAATTGATCGATACTTATTGAGCCAATCAATGTCACATTGTGGTACAATCTATGAATCAATCAATCCATTTACTAACATGGTAAATATTATTAGTGTATTTACTGATATATTTTCTTTACAACAGTTTTCATAAAAAATTAATTTAGTTTTTGAAACAGCTAAATATCATTCAGTCATGAACCTAAAGGTTTTTACACTTATCAACTTTTGGGAGTTTTCACCTCAAAGATAATCAGATTTTCTTTTCAAACTGAAATGGTATCGTATAGAATCCAAGTGATGTAACAGGTTAGGCTGAACCTATCACATGCTTTGGAGAAAAGCACTTGCTAAGTGAGTGATCTAAATGTGGGCGAGGTCACGGTGTCTAGATTACTCACCTAGACAAGGTTACCGGCCACATATTCTTGTTTTGTTCAGTTCAGTGTTATACATATACGCGTAACTTATACACATTAGTGGCTTAATTATGGTGATATTAATTAAATCAAGCTTCTTGTTTACAATATCTTCAAACTGTTCTTGTTTATTTTATCTGATTATCGTTTCCTAAAGTCTATTGTTTTACGGTGGAGAGATATTTTTTGTCTTATTGTAATAATGGTAAACAACTTAGATAATTAGGTAACAAAATACATGTTTTTTTATTGCAAGAAGCGATTCGTACATCAAATGAATATGGGAAAAGATAGTTTTCGTATATTTATTTGCTCATCGTCTTGAAATAGATAATTTTTTTTTTCAATAAATATGGTCTTCAACTATTGTTCAGTATGAAGTTAGTAGTTTGTCACAAATTTATCCAGAAAATTATTAATATCAGTCCTTGGTACGTCATAGTTACGTAGTTCCGATGATCTGAGTACTAGATTAGAACAGTTTTTCAATGCTCCCTGCTTTCCTGTGGCTGCCTGTCTTGCTAGTCGGATCATACATTCAACTATAGTGGAAAGTATTTTCATTATTTTATTAAATAGTTTGTAGAGACTTACTCAATTTAACAAGCATTTACAACAAAGTCCCACATTACCCAGAAAATCTTTAAAAACTTTTCTAGTTTAAAAATTCTCAGAATTACAAACCCTCCGTAACTATACGAGATTATATAAAGTATTGAAGTTTAATAATACATCGACTCAGATTTTAAAAGTCATATAAGAAATACAGGAAGTGGATAGGCGCATACGTTGGTAGAAGTATAATATGATGACGATTTTGGGCTATTTACCAGTCTATCAAGAAACGCTGCTTAGATATGAAACAATTAACAATAGAAATTAGTAAAATAACAACTTTGATCGTAATAATTAACCTTCACAAGTCAAATTATTCCTTGTAGTAAAGAAAGGCGAGTTTACTTATAGACGTGTATATTAATAGTCGGGCTAGTTTTGTGCGTTAGGGTTATTATCACACAGAGTTTCCATCAACTGACATCATTTATAATGCATAAGGGTTAGAGTTAGGTATTAAGACTTAAACTGGAGTTATGAGGTAGGCTTACTAATAAAAGTCACAATTTTCAACACAAACTGACATCATCTATAATCCATTACCTTCCCACCTTCCTGTTTACAAAACTGAGAAACTTAAGATTGAGATTTAAAGTGAGAGTAAGAAACTGAGAATATCATCGAACAACTCATTATACAAAAATGAATGTATTTTTATGCGTAAAATCTCAACTTGAAAAAAACAAAATAATATGTTTGATAGATTGGCATGCAACGATGTTTAGAGGTCATTTTAGCATCAAATAAATGTAGCACTATCAGATATTAGTCAACCTTTTATCCTTTCCAAAAGTTAAGTAGTGTTAAAACAATTCTCTGATTAGTGAAGAAAATTTAAAAAATCCATGGGATAAAGATTTTTAAAAATTATAAACAAAGAATTTTAAGTATTAACTTAACATGGTAATTTATTGGTACAACTGTGAAGCAAGGTGTTAATAGGACTATTTAGTAAATCCGGTATACAGTTTCAAATTGATCACGTGACGATTAAAAAAATTTTCAAACAGTGAAATCTGAAAGAGATAATTAAATTGAAATTTTGAGAATGTTTCTTTTTGGTGAATTTGAATATGCGTTTTAATCTCCCAATCAGAACCTTGGTACATGTGTTCGTCGGTCTAAGTTGTCATATTATTTCAACAAAATGAGATGAAATTATCAAGATAGATACCAAAGTAGTAGAATTAATAACAGTTTCAATGTTAGTAAGCAAACATTAGTCATATAAGGTATGGTTACAGAGAAAAAGAAGGAATTCGTGAAGTCAAATTTAAGTTACAAAATCTTAATGAATACAAGAAGTGAATGCATCTACACCATTGAGACTGATTCTGTTTCATATCATCAACATCTCCCACCAATCTTCCCACCCTTGAACATTTTTCAGTTAATGATTTAAGTTACCTTAATTCTAGTACCTTAATGACTGGAAATCTGATACCAGGATCTCTGAAAAAATGACTCCATTGTTTTATTAGTTAAATAAAACTATCACGCATATACATGAGATACAAAATAACTGACATTCATGTAAATAATTAAAACAACGAAAATAAAGTGCTTCAACGAAATCTCTTTTTCAAAAATTTCATTTTGAATGTTTTACAAAATTGTGTTGGTTGTGGACATCTGGAATCACAAACTTCTAAAATGAAAACTTATTCAATCTCTTTTTAATATCATAATCGTAATCTGTGTCTTCGTTTTTTCTCCCTCATTCTGTAATTTTATTACCCCTAATCAATTAGTTACTGTTTTTATACTCTTTCAGAGCAGACTTAACTTTCACGTTAATTTTATCAATATATATGCAATTTATCTCCCACAATTAATAATTTTTTCAACTTGAGGTTATGGAGGTTGTTGGATTTCATTGAAATCATGAACCGATCAGTGTTAGATAATCTCTGTAACTCGTAGCTGAAAATTATGTGCTCACTAGTAAATAACTTCGAGAGATAATTCTGGAAGTTCTAATGACAAACCGTGACCAGTGGAGCTAAACCGTGTCGGGTGTGAGACAATTACCCACCGAAGATGGTCGCGCGACATCGTAGATTGGTTGAGGTTAGACATTGACACCTGTGGATGCCGACTCAGTGGTCTGGAGGTTAAATGTTTGCGCATGAGACCGTGTGTGCTAGGTTTGAATCTTGAGTCACTTGATAGGGCAAACAGCCGTCCAATGCTTCCAGGCTTTCAATGACGATTTAGAATTGATCGATTCATGAGTTCAATGAAATTAATAATCTTCGTTTAATTGCTGATAGTTTGTTTCTTTTCTAATTTTTACACTATTTTATCACTCATTATACAATGAATACTTCTATTTGTGTATTATTTCTTCCATACTATAATCAATAAGTTGTTTTCAGTAACAAGCAGGTTACAAATTATCACATTTTTAAGAATGAGGTCATTTTAGTGAGTCATCTTTTTTTCTTGATTTGTATCTTATTGTGTATTTACAATTATCACAGCTAAAGAACTAATCAAATCCGAAACCAAACACCAGGCAATTGTGCCAAAAATGTGTATCTCAGGAGGATAATTTTAGAAGGACGCATTTTATGATCTTGTTTGAACTCAAATTATGTCAATTGTTTGTGTATTTTCTACCAAATTTCGTTTTCCATTGCTCATGTATATGTCTAGTGGATTTCGTGTTATTTGTTACTCTTTCATCCTGTACTTTTATGTTAATTAAGTTTTCATAGATTCTAAATTACGAATTGACCTTAGCTAGACCACCGTCGAAAACCTGAAAGCGCTGGATTACTGTTTCATCCTAATATTGGACTTCTGCAGTGCCCATACGTGCTCGGAATCAAACCTAAGGCCTTCGGTGTCGCGTAAGGAATTTTAACTTTTCAATTATGGTGCCAGATTCAATGGTTTACAAGTTTAAGTGACCATTTTCTACTACCTTCAGTGGATAGCTGTCAAACTCGATATGGTTGAACTCTGCTAGTCGCTGCTTCTCACTATAACTCCAAGGGTATCAATGTAGGGCATTGTGGAGATTATGAAATTGTCAGAGATTTCAAACGGCAAACTGGTCTTAATTTCTGTTTCTCTTAACCAATTTAAATGATGTCACAAAATTTCAAATATTAGATAATTCCATGATCGGTTATGATTTCATTTTCATATCTTTTGATCCATTAATAATGCTACGAAATAATCAATCTTTTGTTTTCTGTGATATGGGAGTTGTGCTTGTTAGCTGTATATCCTGTTTATTTATTTTAGCTGTGATGTTTTTAATAGTTTTATTTAATGAAGTTACGGTGTATTTCATTCCAAGATCTTTCGTATCGGAATGTATATTTCATGTTCAATGTTCCGTAGTATTGATTATTTGTTCAATTAGTATTGAATTTTTGGTGAATGTTCCTTCATTGTTCCTGTTTGTTATTTATATTAATTCTTTAACTTAATAGTAAGTTGAATAATCCATTTTATTTCTCATTGTAACTCTGATATTACGTTATAAGTGCTTTTTTAATATGTTTTAGGTACATGTCCCATTATTGCAAGAAGAACAGACAGATTTGAGCAATGAAAAAGCTATGAAGGTACCGTTAAATGCAGATACGAATTATCACTTGGAAACTAAAAGTACTATACCTGAAGAGTTGATCAATAGAAAGGAATCTAATTCATGTATTATCATACTTCTTATTTGTTTATGTTGTTTCAATCTATTCAGTATGACTATATAGAGTTATTAATATTTGTCAGATCTGTGTGGAACTGAAATACGTTTTATCCTATTAGGGTAAGACAGTAATATACCGGCGCTTTTGAGAGACCAATCAAAATTAAGCTAATCGTTTCATGAACTGAAAACGTTGTTGAGGATAGCTTACTGCTAAAACTCGCTATTTTCATTATATTTCGTAGTTCGAAAGGATTGGATGATGTTTTCTTTGCTCAATAAACTGTCAAGGTCAGTATGTTTGCATTAGGAGTGTTAGTCCTAAGAGTATTAGGGTTAGGACCAAGGGTCTAGGAGTTTTAAAATAAGAGCTGGGGTTTACGAGTTTTAAGGTTATAAGTTGTGTTTTGAAGATGTAGAGCTCTGAATTAAGGTTTATCCTGATTACAAAACTATAATATTCAGCCTGAATAATCGATATCCAGCACTTATATGTCCTTTGATGGTTTTAAAACTAGAAATCCCTCGTATTTTCATCGCCTTATTGCATTTCAGAGCTCTTACACGAAAGCTGCACTCTGATTGGTCAATCTCAAAGCTTGTTGCCTTCTGCTTAATACGGTTTTGCCCCTGTTGGTTTTTTTATTTATAATGTGCACTTCTTGATAAAGTTGAAATTGGTAAAGTTACCAGCAGTTAAGTAAAGCATGTTTATCTACAGAACGTTAAAAAAATCATATGCAAGAGGTTTTTTGCGGCTTAATTAGACTAAGTTTCAGTTTCTTTCTGACGTTAGTGTAGCTTCTAAATGCTAACGTTATTTTCTCAGTTACAATTTAAAAGAAATACTGATCGAACAGTTTCAGATAGCATCATATGACAAAAAATCTGTAACTCAAAGTTCAGTGTATCTGTTTCTATACAGTTGTCGAGTTATACTGGTATATTATTGTCTTTAACATAAAAAAGGCTTTTTTCTGTACGTAAACAGTGTTTTTATTAAATAACAATAACTAATTACACAGAACAATGGCTTAGTGGTTAAAATAATCAACGTTCAACCGAAAGGTTACAAATTCGAACCCTTTTTAACCTGCTTCATGTAATAAATAAAGAGATAAGTAATCAATGTATTCACCAGGTACTTAGGTATAATCAAAAGTTCAAAAATGAGAGCTAATTATATCAATCTAGTTGCCTAGACTGAAGTAGGTCAAATATCCTAGGCACTCAACTACTGCTTGGTTTATGCAAACAATGCTTATCATTAGCTCCTAGTTTCAAAGTTTGTCTGAAAATGGAAAATGTAAATGTATATTTAGTGAATGAGTTTTTAAGTAACTTTCATTCTCCTTTTTCTCAAATTGTTTAGGTTTATGTTAATATTTTATATATCTTACGTTGTGCATAGCTTATATCACCAGTAAATTGAGTGTTTTGCATCTTTTTTTACGAATTTAGCGGACAATCAAATCAGAAATTTCCAGTCTCTCTTGAGAAAGTTGCTTTGTGATATTTTAACCAGTGAACTATTGGCTAATAAATATAAAGATAAACCGTACATGATTCAGTCAACAGTTTCTTCCAATCACAAGAGAGATTGTAACACATTAAATCCAAATGTTACTTTACAGAATCCTATCAACACCATCAATGACAGGATTTACAATCCTGATTCTTCAAATACTGAGACAAAACTGTCTTTTAATAGCGAAAATTATGAGGAAGCTATTTCAACTCCATGTTTTGATCCTAATGTGGGACATGAGGTGCTTGTTTATATTTTATTTTGCTTTCATTTTTGACTACATAATTTTTAGTTAGTAATATATACCACGAAGCGCAATTACTGTAGTAAATGTTGGTCTAGTTAGACATTTAGTTGGTCATTAGAATTTCGACAACTATTTGGTAATTCTTTTCTTTACCATCTTGAATAAATTAAAAAACAAGCATGAAGAATAAGGTGAATTCATGTACTTTGGGGTTTTTTGTTCAGTTGCTTACAATCAAAAAACAATAGTAATTATTATTTACAACCAATGTACATACTTTGTATCATCTTAATGAAGATCAACAAAATAACGACAAGTATAGATAGATTACAGAGTGGTGAAGTGGAATAACACTTATATGTTACTAACTTTTAAAGTTCTTGGAGGATACTAAAAGAACTTTCTTCTAAATTCGAATGAATAGTTTCACAGTATTTGGGCTCCGATTCGGTATGAGACATTAAGGAAGAAGAATGTGTTCCTAAATCCTAGCGAAACCTTGGATTTATTTACAATTCATTCGCTGAGATTTTACAAATACATTCTTTCTCCTTACTGCCTTGGAAAAAGGTTTAAAACATATGCAGAAATGTTTAGAAAATGAAAATTAATGTTATTCACAAAATAGGATAGACCAATCGAGTAAAATGGGCAAAACTGGAAAATGAAGTAAGAATAAAGAATAGACATTACCACCGAGTTTGTGAAAGAATATATTACGTAACTGAGCGGTGAAAAATATGAGTCACTAGAGTAGTAGGAGGTTTGCAGCTGTATCCCTTTGAATATCTAGGTTCACTTTCCATCTTTCAGTAGCGGTGGTCTCACGGAAACTTAGCCAGTTCTTTATTGATTATCATGGACGGTTTTAATACATTAAAATTGTCTTCAACTTCAAGTAGATGACTGTAGTGACACTGTAGAAAACTCATTGAGTGTTTCCATTCTCGTTAACTATTCCCTATTAACAAATATCTTGATGTCAAGTTAAGCGAAAGTATTTTGTTTGATTTCTTGTTGAAATATACCATAGAGCTGATCCTCTGGAGGTATAATGGAGTATACAAAAATGTACTTGTTAAATAAATGACGAACAACAAATTATCACATCTAATTTTTTCATACGTAGCTGGCCAAACGTTTGTAAAAGTTGACAATTACTTGCTCCGTTTCACCCTTTTATCTTTTTCTACAAACTATGACAATATCATATCATTGTTTAATTTTATCTTACAGTTCTTGAATGAATTACAATCACTATTGCGCAATAACTGTTATTCAAACGGTATGAAGGCAAGTGATCATCAACCAACTGCAATGCAAATTTTAAGTCATGTGAAGAATAGTTCATTGTATACATGCTTGGGCAGTTCAAAATCATCATTATTGAAAATTAATCCAAACAATCAATTAACAACTCCTTTACTTGGTATGCGTAATTCAGTTGATAAGTTATTGTGTCCAGAAGTGATTAAGAAAAATTCAGTGGATGCTAGTAAACCAAAACATTCACAAAAATCATTTTGTCATTCATTAGCAGAGACATCTATTAGTCGAATTTCAAAGGATTCCATAAGTAATAACAATACTGTTAATACTACTACCACTACTACTGTATCCTCTCCTGATTTTTTACATTCACTTAATTGTTCAGTAAAAAATCCTAATATTCGAAATTCAACGTTAAATTCTTTATTGTTGGTATGTAGTCAACCATGTACAACAATGTCAATTGATTCAGAATTATCGACGTTAACTTCATCGACATGTAAAACTCACAAACAGCAACAATATCCATCAGTTGAAACATCCGTATCGCATCCTTCAAGTCCTTTATTCAAATATCGACATCCAATGGGTATATCACTTTTTTACTGTCCGCATAATCATTTTTATAAGAAATGTTTAGAAAGTAGAAAAATATTATTACATATGGTAGTAGTGGTAATCTCAGTAGTATAAGTGTTGTTAGTAGCTACGTCGTTAATAATAATGGTAATATTAGTACACTATGGGCTAAATATGGATTTTATAGGATATTGCTCAGTGATCATTTAGTGCATAAAAATTGTATATACAGTTTCACCCTTATATCAATGTAATCATGTATTTGTGTGCTGTCATTATTATTATTATATTTTTTCATCTGGCACAATTTTATGTGATTGAATGGGATGCTCTATCCTACTGAGATGTTGAAAGTCATGATGAAGCCAATATATCATTCATATCAACTACGGAACAAATGATCTTATTTATTTCATTTAAACACAAATATTGGTACAAAGGGGGGAACCAGATATATATGCGCCGCACAAATCTCATTTGATTTGTGTGAGGGCTGTAATACTACCCAGGTGCCCAAACTGAAGCAGGTGGTTTTCTTAGGGGGCCACACCCCGAGCCTTTGACCTATAGGTCTAACCCACAAAGTAGTGGAGCATCGTAAGAAGATGTAGTCCAATGGTAGCCGGTGACCAACGATTGATTCATACGCCATTTGTTCCTTCAGGATACTAGAGCCCATGTGCACCATTAGTTTGGAATCAGGGTTTCCTAGCTCCCCTAGGTGGACTTCCCGTATCCACCAACTCTGTTAAGGCACCGGACATTCTCTTTTCGTCCTCTCAATTCGGGATACAACACCCCCGCCATGAGAAGGCAGTGAGTAGGACTTCCGTGGCAGTGGTTATTTGTACGTGGCCATGTGAGAGTGTTTCGGGAGGGAGAGCTAACTCTCCCCATTCTCGGCCGTACCAGGGCATTCAGGGGCGAACAAAAGACTAAGAAAATGACTTATATTTAAACTTTGCAGAGATGTTGTTTTGACTTTTTCCAATAAGTCATTCGGTTGACTTAGTTCAGTTCAATCAAGTTTTTTTAGGCTGATTAAGTAATTTATCACTCCCGAATACCAAGTTGACATCAATCGGTGACCATCGTAATCTCTGTAAAGAATTTATTTACTTATATATTAATTTGTGTTTACTTCGTTATTACACCCTTTATTTTAGATGATCACAAATTTTCGACTACATCTCATCATTCATCATTATTATCATCAATTCATATTACGCCAGAAAAATGTTTTCACACCACTATTATTACTTCTACCACTCCTATTACTACTATTATTACCACTAATTCGAAAATAAGTGAACAAACTAATACACATCAGTCTCATTTACCTTTTACAATCACTTCAATTAGTCCTACTCAAATAAATACCACTAATGTTAGTCAGATTTCTATGTTTAATGATAATAATAATAGTAATGATAATAATCTCGTTCAAAATTATTCCAACCTACAATTTATGGACATTGATAATTATCAATGTAAAAATTCATCAAACTATAAACAAACTGTGTCGAATAGTACTAATAATTGTACTACGTTTAACACATTTTCATCCGTACCAACACTTAATTCTAATAAACATAGTAATACTACTTCTACTACTACTACTACTGCTACTACTAATGATACTAACAAGAGTAGTAGTATTAATAGTTCACTTATTCAGCATAGAACTTCAAATGGTTTGTTTGTATGCATGGTATGTTCTCGTCAGTTTACTCGTTCCGATATGCTTGTAAGACATGCTAATGTGCATACAGGTCATAAACCATTTGAATGTACAATATGTGGTCAAGCATTTAGTCGATCTGATCATTTATCTACACATCAACGAACACATACTGGTCAAAAACCGTATCAATGTTCATTATGTTATTATTCTGCATCTCGACGTGATATGATTACCAGACACTTAAGAGTACATCAAAGAAAAGTAAGTTTTTACCATAATTTCTTCGAAAATTTCATATTTTATTCAATTTTTTCAGATGTATGATACATTTCAAGAATTAGATTAAAATAATCGTACCAGACAAATGATTTCCATGTTGATTATTCTATCAACTATCATAGTCTATTTTACTCAATTCTACTTTCTTTTGAAATTCTTCATATTATTATTCCTATCTTTATCATTGAAGCAATGCCAGTAATCCTTCGGTTTGATATCGCGTGTTCGAGCTCAGTGACAATAACTTTATTGATGTCATCATTTAGAAATAACAGCCTCAGTGGCTTGGACATGTTTTCCGAATTTCATTCCAACGTCTTCCACATTGTTTACTAATTACCAATACTAGGACTGAATTGGAAAAAACAGAGTGGTATTCGGTTAATGGCTTTAGGCAGTGATGGAAAAGAAATTTATGAAGGACTAAAATCTCTCGATTATCTGATCTAATCTTATGACTGGCGCGCTTTAATAATGTTAGGAAACAAAGTAGCAGTTTCTTTCATTTAGTTATCATTTTGCATAGCTTTTTATACAGAAAAAGGAAATATATATTCATGACGATTACCAACTTTTCTTCATCTTGAGGTGTATTTGGTAACATTATGCCGTTCATTAAATTTTGTTAAGATAGTTTTGATAAACTCTGACACATATTCTACACAATCATTTTATAGCACCATGTTTTGTGGGAAGTTCATTCTTTGTATAGGGATGCTATGTCTGTTTGTAAATTTCACGAACATTTCCCTCCCAATGTTCTTTATATGTGCAATATCTGGCGTTTTTCCGCCCATTAAGTAGGTGAATGCTTAGCACAAGAACATAGTTTTTACTGGACATTTCATTGCAAGCCGTAACTTTCACTTTAATTGCATCTTTCATCTGACAAGTCGAGATGCAGCACAGTGGCGTGTCCACAGAAAACATGCATAAATAACTTTAGATAATTAAAACGGGTTCCCCAATGAAAACCACACTCTCATATGGAGGATTGACACATTAAATGAACGGAAAAATGCTAGATATCACACTTACTAAGCATTAAAAAGGTGGTTATCATCACATTATATATATATATATATATATATATATATATATATATATATATATATATGCCCGACCGTTGCTGCTACCTTGACGTGGTGGTCGGGCTTGCCTATCATGATGAAGCAATCGAGCTATGCTGGCTGGAACAATCGTTCCTCGAGGTCCTACCATGCCAGACAGGTCGGTTGAAGAGCGGTAAGACTAAAAGCAGCAATCCCAAGGTCCGAAGGCGAAGTCGTACTGCTGACTGTACAGAGGTGTGACGGCAGTAAGGTGTTTCCTTCAGACAACCAGCATGACAGCGTTTCTGCCTTCCCACAAGGAGGGGTGGGGTTAGAAAATGTCGACCCTAAAAATGCACACCTCGCCTTATCCCACGGATTTCCGTCTCCGGCGGTAAGGTTTTTTTTTGAAGAACGGAGCTAACACGTCAAAAATCACCCACAAAAAGGCCGTGCGTGACCGACCTCAAGCAGTTGTCCCTTGGGCACTGCGGTCACGCTCCCAGGTCGTTCAGACCAACACTAATCCAACTTCTTTTTCAGGTCCTTCAAGAAATACCCTTCCACGGTGTGTGCAGCCGGGAAATGATAAATGCCCTCATAACCGTAACAGCACACGAAGGGCGAGTTAGCTTAATTGCAGGCTAGTAAGAAGCCTACGCAATGATCGTGAACAGTGGTGGGTAGCAAAAGCAAGAGAGATAGAAAAGGCAGCGGCAATTGGTAACAGCAGACAGCTGTTCAGACTTATTAAAGAAACCGGCATTAGGAACCCAACTATTAGCGAAACTATCTCAGACAAAGATGGGAATCTCATTCATTCTCAATCCAGGAGATTGAATCGATGGGCAGAACACTTTAGGGATCAGTTCAACTGGCCTTCAGCCACACTTCAGTTACCCACGATCCCCAGTCATCCTGAATGGAAAATTGATGTAAGTCCTCCAACTCTCTACGAGATTGAAAAAGCTATAGGAAATCTGAAGCGAGGGAGAGCCGCAGGCCCTGACAGGTGTACCCCTGAGATTTTTAAGGATAGTGGTTCAGTACTAGCAACAAGATTGACTGAAGTCTTAGGTAGAATCTGGGACCTGGACGTAATTCCATCTGACTGGTCCCAATCACTGATTGTGCCAGTCTATAAGAAAAGACAAAAGTCCTCCTGTGACAATTACAGAGGGATCAGTTTGACTAATATATTGTCTAAAATATTGGCTTCAATAGTACTTGGACGCCTAACCAAAGCTCGTGAAGAGCAGACTAGAGAAAACCAGGCTGGTTTTCGACCTGGACGTGGTTGCATAGACCAGATATTCACTCTACGTCAGATCCTAGAACATGGACATACATTCAGACGTCCCACAATAGTAGTATTTCTTGACCTTAAGGCGGCATTTGACTCCGTTGATCGTGAGGTTCTATGGCAGTGTTTGTCAGTGAAAGGAGGACCAAAGAGGTACAATAAAACACAACTGGTGGAGTTAGAGCCTATGGCGAACTGTCTTCAGAATTGGTTACCTCAAGTGGTGTTCGTCAGGGCTGTCCACTCTCCCCATTCTTGTTTAACTTTGCCGTCTACATGCTTTTGGAGATAACACTTTCATCATCTCAATCTCCAGGAGTTGAACTTTTACCGGGAGGATCACTTGTTTACTTGGAATACGCCGACGACATAGTTTTATTTGGTGAAGACGCTGACAAAATGCAGAGTCTTCTGACCACTATAAGCGACAATGCAGGCATGTTCGGGATGCGATTCTCTCCCTCGAAGTGCGAAATGTTACTTCAGGATTGGGTTGAATCGACACCTGAACTAATGATAGAGAGTGAAGTAGTTGAGCGTGTTGACAGCTTCACTTATCTTTTGAGTCTCATCAGCCCTTGTGGTCTGGTGTGTGACGAAATCTCAGCACGGATACGGAAGGCTCGTCTAGCTTTTGAGAACTTGCGTCATTTATGGCGTAGGCGAGATATCCGTCTAGCAACAAAAGGACGGGTTTACTGTGCAGCAGTCCGTTCCTTCCTACTTTATGGACGTGAAACATGGCCTATAAGAGTAGAGGATATTCGTAGGTTACTAGCATTCGAACATAGGTGTCTTCGACGCATTGCTCGTATATCCTGGGACTACCGGGTAAGTAATGCAGTTGTTAGGATACTGATACTAGGTAAGGATGGCAAATCGATTGATGAAGTGGTGAAACTTCATCAGTTGAGATGGCTGGGACATGTGTTTCGTATGCCCAACCACCGACTGCTCCGTCGTGCAACGCTTTATGGTGTAGGAGTAGGTTGGAAGAAAGCTAGGGGTGGCCAGACCAAAACGTGGCACAAATCAATGAAGTCACTGACAAGTGGACTGAGCCATGTTGGTAGGTGTAGACTACCTGGTTGGGATTCGCGAGATGACAGCAACCGATGTTTGTATCCTTTTTCTCTTTCCAAATTTATTTCATTGTATTATACTCCTTGAATAACATCTTCAAACCCTAATCTTTCACATAATACTTATACTCTTACTACTTCTACCACAATGGGATTTGAATCGACAACTTCATCTCTGTGCTAATGTGGTATGGCGACTCGAACTGATGTACGTACTTACGAAGTTCTATGTTGTAACTGACTGACTGACTGATATATATATATATATATATATATATATATATATATATATAAACTCATTTATGTTACTTCTTTTAACTAAGTAGGAAATATAGCCTATTTTTTCTTTCTAGGGCCAAATAGTTTCAACCAATGAAAGTGGTGGAGCTTTGAAATTACATTTTACTATAAACATTTCACAGCCTTCTAAGTATTCTCCGAAACACAAAGGAGACAGAAATACTAATTCTCTAGCGAATGTAACAGATAATCATTCTGCAGTGATATCACAGTCTTCTCATCTCAATAGTTTTCATTAGAGCATATATATAAATCGGAACAATATTTGAATGCATTTTCAATTTAGCACATAAACAATTATCAGCTGAATGACAGTCGAATTTTGTTATGATAAAATCACTCCATACTTTTGTTAAGGTAAGCAACAATTTTTACCATAATTTTAAATTTACCATATATATATATATACCAGAGCTTATATGTAGTGCATCGTTTGGAGATGGATGTGCTCAAGTTACTATATATTACTTACTTAATTCTGTTACATCTCGTGAAGAAGCATAAGCCACCCACCATCATACATGTCTGCTTCTAATTGTTGACACACTGCGTTCTTTGACCTTCCTCTTTTCTCTTTCCCATCAAACTAAGGCTTGCCTCGTGATGCAGTTTGATGATTTCCTCAATACATGTCCTGTCTACTTCCAGCATTTTTTCCTAATTTCCTCTTCAACTATGTATTATATACATGAAAGTCCAATTCAGTAGAGAGTAATTCTAAGAAATCGCTATTTCTGAAACTAATCAGAGCTATGACGATAAATACAGGTGTTTTAAACGTGATTCCTCAATTATTTTGAGAACAATGATTTGGATATCTTCATTTATATTTTATAAGCTGAGCCCTCATGTTGTAGATTTGTTTTTATTCATTTGCTCAAACTGAAGCAATTAGAATGTAGTTAAAACCGGTAGACTAGTGCATTATGATGTCGTGTCTGATAAATTGTAATAATTTGGTTTGTTTTAGAAGTATGTTATATTTTACAAGAGAATAAATACGAAATTGATCTGCAAGTGCAACACTATGGAAACGGAAAAAAAATACACTGAATTTAAAAGCACCAAGTTTCAGTTACATTACCTGACGAGCACTAAAAGTGACAATATATTCTTCAAATTAGTATATAACAAGAAACGGCATTTACCCTAAATTCCCTGATACGGCTGAGAGTGGGGAGAGTTCGCTCTCCCTCTCGAAACGCTCTCACATAGCCATGTACATAAAAGTTACATGACGAGTTGTGAGATTGAATATCTCTATGTATTTTTTATCTGTACACCTTAAAACTTGCTACATTGGTGATCCATAACTATTGAAGTCGTATGTATTTTTGTTTGTCAGTTATTTAAAATGAATTAAGAATATCAGGATAATATGTTTTTGACACGATATTTCAATTTATTAATACACTATAAGGTACTTAAAATGCCTTAATGTTTTTCTTCCTTATTTACTTTTTAGCTTGACTTCCATCACTAGGTCTTCCGAAAAAGTTATTTCTCCTGTGCTTATATTCATATCGATATGTGTTCGGAAGCACAAATACGTGTTTTTTTTGTTTATTTTCATATTTGATCACAGCAATAAATACACACAATTCGCCATTTTAAATAATTCAATGTTTTACTGTGAACAATAATTGACTTTATGATTTAAAATTGTTGTTATGTCGAATGAGCAAACAGTATTTCACATAGATTCCAAATTAATTGTTACGTCATAATAATCAATGCAGTGTAAATTATTGAATTGTCTTCATCCGATTCCTTCTCCTACCATCAATGATAATCAGATTCAATAGCACTGGAAAATTCCAAAAAATGAACTGTTTTCATTTATGTACTTCATATTTTTTGTCTATAACAAGATTAGTTTGTTCCTTCAATTCTCCATTTGTATACTGTCACTGTTTTCTTTCTCCATTTCTTTTTGTTGTTGTGAAGTCCTTTTTTCTTTAAAATAATATTGTTCATTTGTAAAAAGCATTAGAAAAAAAAGAAAACAATCACTGAATAGATCGTCAAAGAAAGAAAACAGATCACAATATCAACTAACGAATTAATGCGTTTATTTATTGATGCATTTTTAGTAATATTACTGTCATCATCATAACTTGGTTTCTATGTTAAGTTCTGTTGTTGTTGTTGCTGTTGCTGTTGTCTTTTTCCTTTTCCTATGAAAGTTTATTGTTGTATGTATTCGTTCATTTTGTTAGTTTATCTATTAAATTTATTTATTTTGTTCCACAGTTCATTTATTTATTTATTTTTTTATGATTATTTACACAACTTTTCATTATAGACAATTTTCTATGGAGAGTTTCATTTATGCTTAACGAATTGTTTTAATCTTCAATAGTATGACATTATTTTTTAAAATACTATTTACAAGTGATATTCCAGCAGATTATTTTCTTTTTAGTCCTACTGTATGCTTCAAATGATTATTATACTTTGTGTGTGTGTGTGTGTGTTTTACAATGTTTTGTTGAGTTCTTTTTTTTTTGCTTTTTTGTTTCTTCGCTTATTGTAATTTAGTCTTAGATGTTAATGTGATTATTATTTTTCTACTATTTCAACATGTACACTTAATAATAATGATAATTTCGGCTTGCATTCTTCAGTGGTCTTGAATGCTGTTAGAGGTATGGCAACTTGGACCGATGCATAAATGTGCCTAGTCCTACATTTTAGCTGACTGACTAGCATTCTTCAGTAACACATATCTTACAGTAATTTCTCTTCTTTCTAAGTTTTCCATCTTCATATTTAAGTTCTCTTTCCATTGAAATCATGGGTTTCCTTGGTCTTTTCCTTTTTTTTATTAAAAAAAAAGTGTTTTCTGTGTTTATGTTCTATTTCTAATGTGGATATTTTATTTTAAATCCTATTTGATAACATGACCATTTAGAGCATTCCTAATATTTTTCATATGTATTTGTTTTATTTTAGTTGTATTTTAATGGATATGTTCAAATGACTACGCTTCACTATGTGTCTTCATCTTTTCATTCATTCACTCTATAGATAAATAATCATTACAACTACTTCGTATTCACGATCACTTTTTTGTTTTGTTTTTTTGGAAAGAAAGAAGATAAAAACATTTCGATGCATATTATCATCTAGTTGTTCCATCTGCTTGTATGTCTTAATTCCTGCTGTATTTCTCTATTTTGATTCTTATTTTTGTTTAAATTCTTTGTATTCGCCATTAGATTGAATAAATCTAAATGTTGATTAAAATTCTGTTAATTGTTTACTATTTTATGCATAAGTGAGGTACACAAAGACATGGAATCATTACCAATCGTACTCACTAGTAATAATTTTACAGATGTTTATGACTAGTTATATGATTATAAGTAGTTAAGTTAATTCTTCCAAATTATTCAGGGCTATTCTCTAAAATGATAACCATTTACAGCAAATCAGTAACTTGTTGAAATATTTGAATATTAAAAAAATATGTAGTATATATTTTCAATTAGATCTTTAGAAGCAGTCACGATAACAATAAAGATGTATAAATTCAACTTAGTATTGTTTGTTTGAATCTCACATGGCCAGCGAATATATAGCCTCTGCCAGGGAAGTCCTACTCACTGCTTCCTCGTGGCGGGGGTGTTGTTTACGAAATTGAGAGGACGAAAAGCGAATGTCCGACGCTTTAACCGGGTTGGTGGACAAGGCGAGTCCACCTAGGGGAGTTGGAAAACCCTGATTCCAAACCAATGGTGCATATGGGATCCTGTATCCTGAAGGAACAAATGGCGTACGAATCAATCGTTGATCACCGGCTACCATGGGACTACATCTCACGATGCTTCGCTGCCTTGTGGGTCAGATCTTTAGGTCAAAGGCTCGGGGTGTGGCCACCTAAGAAAACCACCAGCTTCAGTTTGGGCACCTGGGCAGTATCACAGCCCTCAAGCAAATCAAATGAGATTTGTGCGGCGCATATGTATCTGGTGCTTCCTTGTACCAATATTTATGTGTTTAAATAAATAAATGTGGTCTACTGCTGTTTCACTGGCTGTCTCCAACTGCATTTATTGGTATGTATAGGATAGAAGGGCTAGGTCATCTGCGGAGTCCAGATCGTCTAGTTGCATCCGAGCTGTTCATTGTAATCCGTGCTCCCCCCTCAGATAAAGAGGTCTTCATAATCCTATAGACCGGCAGAACAAGGAGAAGGGGCAGTGATAAACAGCCTTGTCTGATGTCAGTTTTATGTTGAAATGTATCTGTCAGCTGTTCTTCATTCACGACTTCGCAGTGTAGTTCGTCATATAAATTGCGGATGGTGTTAATCATCTCATGTACACTACAGTGATGGAGAATTTTCCATAAAGTCCTCCTATTCGCACTGTCAAACGTCTCATGCTCAATAAAGTTGACTTATAGTGACGAGTTCCATTCAATTGATTGTTCAAAGATGATCCACAGTGTCGCGATTCGGTCTGTGCACGATCGATCCTTATGGGATCCGGTCTGTTGATCTAGAAGCTGGAAATCTACTGAATCTATCATCCCGTTCAGTAACACTCTTTTGAAAACATTTCCTGGTACCGATAGTAGTATGATGCCTCTATAGTTTCCACATATGCTCAGATTTCCTTTCTTTGGTATCTTGATGAGATGTCCTTCTTCCTTACAGTCCATCAGTGGCACTTGTTCTCCCTCCCAAATTTTTTTTGAATAGAATATGGAACATGTTTGCAGTTACTTCTATGTGTAACTTTAGTTCTTCAGCTGGAATATTGTCCAGTCGGCTTGTAACTCTTTTGGGGTTATTGCCAGTTCCATGGCCTGGTAAAGGAGATCGGTTAAACATCGGGTCAGCAACGTCATCCCGTGGGAAACAACCTTACTAAAAAGTGTAGACCAGAAAATGTGATTTGGGTCTAGTACTTGCCAATCAACCATGCCTTTTTGACTCGTAGCACATGTTTCACAACTATAAATCAGTACAGAATGAATGAACTTACACTATCACTACAATTTAGGATTTATAATATCATTTTAACTTTCTTATATTAACGGTTCATCATGCTCTAATATTTTAGAATTCTTTCTCTTTCATTATGGCTCAATAACCTCAATATCTTCTATATATTTAGTAATCAATATAAACTTGATTCTCTCCATTTAAACCATTAAATAAGAAATAGTTAACAATGATTAATATTCAATGTAATATCTTCTTTAAATATTAGAAAATAAAATGTTGTTT